CATCTCCTTTCTCCTATTCTCGCTCTCTCTTTCTCCCTCCCTTTTTCCTTCTCCCCTTCCCCCAATCTCCTTCCTCTCCCTCCCTTTTCTTCTCTTTCTCTCTCTTTTCTTTCTGTCTCTCTTTTTCTCATGATAATTTCTTTATCTAATGAGAATCTATATCTACCTTTCGTCTAAACACTTCAAGTACAATAAAAGTATCGTATGATTTATATATTCACAGATATATTAAAGTTTGCTCGAGTAGAAATCACCTCAGATGGTCATTCACATCATGAAGTTAAATCTATTGATAAATTTGCATTATACAATGATATGCTTTTCGAATGATATAGATATGTTTTTTTTTACATGCAATATATTAATTTTTCTTATTATTTTATACAGATCTAAAGATTATCCTGCGATTATCAAGGAATGAATAATTTATGTATATTTAAATTTTATGTCAAAATATGTCAAAATAGATTATAAAAGATCCCGTAAGCTATTAATTTATTATCAATTTTATTTCAATTTCTTTATATACACGATATAGGAATTATATTATGTACAAATTATATGATTTTATTTAAAAAAACAATGTTTAGAAAAGTAATGTTTACAGTAAGACATCCGCGAATAAATTAATATTGTAATTGTTTAGTTCCTTCGAAAACTTACAAGTTTTATCCACAACCTTACAAGTTTTATCCACACTTTTTTATGACGCGTACTTTTCTTAGAGATAATAAATTATAACTTTTAATGTTTTGTTCTGTTGTATATTTTATTCTGTGTATTGTATTCTTATTATTTATTAACACTTTGCACTTTTATTTTTTATAAAAAATTTCATTACAATTTGTAATGTAGTAATATAATTCAATATAAATATATTTATGTTATAAATTATATCAAGTATGAAACAAATTTTCAAAACAAAATAATGCTCTGTAACTGTAAACAATTTTAAGACAATTTCTTATTTAATTAAATAATTTGCGTAAATTATTTATTTGCATTTATACGACAATTTTGCTTATCCATAATGTCATCTTAATTTATTATTATATCATAATGATTTATTTAGCGTTTTATTGTCAATATTAATTAATTAAATTTTTTGAGATATTGAATACTGTATTATCTCTATTATTTCGCAAATTTCATTATAAATGTTTATTTGTGCTATGAAAGCTATTAAATGTGAAAACATATTAAAGGAATTTAATTAATTTTCTCTTTATCTATTTTTCTATAATTGCAATCCTATAATAAAAATTCATTATAAGAAACATTTATAAGAAACAAATTGATATTTTTATTTTCTAGAAATCCTATTCATTGTGAGCTCGACATATTTATTCGATTTATTTAATACTTTTTTATTTCTATTTTTATTTATATTTTTTTAGAAAGAAATAATAAATAAATTTATGTCTCTAATATTTATAAAAGTTAAAAAAATCAGAAAATAGATAATAAAATACACCATATTGTTAATAATGATTTTAAATAGGATATAAGAATATTTCTGTAATTGCTAATTTTTTGTATAAAAAGAATTACGTTACTACTACTGCATTGATCATTGAATGAAATATATCCATCTTAAATCATTCATTCTAGTATGAAAAACACACATATTTAAAACACACATGTTTAAAACATAATAGTAAAATTTGCATAATTAAGTTTTTGTTTTGTTTTTGAAGATAAAAGATGAAAACTTGTATACTAACTTATTTATATCAGTGTTGTTTTATTTTATTTATTTCTAATTAATGACTAAATATAAATTTAAAGACGAGTTTCAATGTTTAATATAAATCGTTACCATTTTTAGTGTGATTATACTTTATATAAAGTATAATCATATTAGATATTGATCGTACTTAATATGATTTTATTTTTTTTACAACTATTATTATAATCACACACAAATTATGTTGATTAATTTTAATTTTGCGAATATTTGTGCTTTTTTGACTTTCTATGATTATTTAATGCTCCTTTATAAAATCTTTTTCTAACTACTCATTTTTAACTATTTGGAAATGTGTTGTTTGTTTACAATATTGTTTGTGGAGACCCATTTTATTGATCTAGCATTACTTGCAATTCATTATGAAGAATCTTCTTTTTTACTGTTTTTTAATAATTTTGGTCTTTATTATTACAACGTAAACGTTTAAATTGCAGAGTTCCTATTGAGAATAGCTCAAAAAAGAATTGAAACGTTTTAAAAAACAAATAGACATATCTTCTTTTGTATTTAAATTCAATAATAATACAATATTGTTTCATTAATTAGCGCATATATATTAATTACAGTGTCTGACTCTCATTTGTTTTATATTAATAAAAGATTTATATTATAAAAGATGTTTAAAGATTTATATTATAAAAGATATTTTATATTATAAAAGATTACGTTATAATATTAAGTAAAAATTTTTATATTTGATTTTCCCTCTATTTTGTTCTTGTTTGTAGGATTTCTCTTACATGAATCATTTTTTAAAGTGCAATAAATTAATGCGAGCTTTGTCGATTATGTGATCTATGGCACTTTCTTTCTGTTTTGTTATTTTAGATGTAGATGAATGTAAGCAACAAGGTGGATCAAACGGTCACTACTGCAACTCAAATACAAAATGCGTCAACGTGATTGGCTCTTATACGTGCGAGTGTCTTCCGGGTTATTATAGAATGGACAAATTCAACTGCGCTGAGTTAGACGAATGTGCGACTGGTCAACACTTGTGTGATGAGCATGCTACATGTGTGAACACTAACGGTAGCTACTACTGCATCTGCAAAGACGGCTATACCGGCAATGGTTTCACGTGCAAACGTACAGTATATCGCCTTTCCATTATCGATAATATAATAGCAATTTAGTTAGCAATTTTTCAACATTTGATATAACAAATTACAATTGTTATTTTAATATTTCTCTTTATATTTTTATACCTAATTTCTCCTGTTCTTTATTAAATATTTCTGTTAAAGTTCCTGCTGATTCATTATAACCATTTTGAAATATGATATCAAAAGCGAGAAAATACATGATGAATCTTGCAAAATATATTAAAATAGAAAATGTTTTTCAATAAAATGATGTATGTTTGTATTCGATGCAAAACAAACTTGTAAGACAAACTTGTAAAATATACCAAAACCTTGTCTTTTACTTCCATAATTGATAAACAATCTAAAAAATGAATTATATCTAATCAAAAAGGGAATCACAATTCAATTCTAGATATCGTTACTTATTGGTTGAACAAATTGAAAGAAAAGTTTTTGATATATTTTACAATGTATTTCTGTATTTCTGTATTTTAAGTGAGAAAATTATTTTATTTCGAATTTTATAATCGAAAAACTATTTGATTTCATTTTTTTAAGTCTTATTTTATTCAGGATTTCTCTTACACGAAATTTCGTAAGCGCGTAAGAGCGTAATAAATTAATGCGAGCTTCGTTGATTACATTATTATTTTGCGACATTATGCTTTCAATGTCATAATTTAAGATGGCTAGTAGACGGTGAACCAGCAGAAATCTTAGAAAGCAATGTTTTATAATAAACTGTAAAGATAATATATACATAAAACTTTTATTATTTGAATTTATATTAATAATCATTGATACTATTTATCTATTGGTTTTTCATATAAATATTGTATATAAATATTGATCTTTTTATAAACAAATGTATACAGGGTGTCTGATAAAAAATGGTACACCACTTATATGCACTTATAGAGCGGGTCAAACTGAGCAGAAAAGTTCTCTATCATTTTGTGATTTTTGCAATTAAATACGCTTTTATTCGATGATTTTTAATAACTCGTTATTAATTGCGAAAATCGCAAAATGGTGGACCCGCTCTACCTGCACACAAGCAGTATATCATTTTATTTTATATCTTAGATATCTTGTATATATGCAATTTGAAATGATTATTGAATAAACATACCATTCCAGTAGAAGATGATTGATATTAAAAATAGAAAAGACTACTTTGTACGTCCTTTCTTTATTAAAATTCTCTAAACAGATGTGTACACAAATAGTCATAATGATTTTCATCATATCGATGAATAAAGCGATAAAAGAAAATTTACTAAAGTAGAAAATATTAATTTTTTCGGGATGTATTCCGAACAGAGTACACTTTACTCGAGAATGTCCTTATGATGTCTCTGTGTTTTAAGAATATTCCTCAAATAAAGTGTACTGTGTGAGTACCATTCCAATATTGAAAGATGAAAAAGTGTAATTAGATATTTCCAGTCTAAGTCTTTCTAAGTTTGAAAAATTGCTCGAATTTTTATTGTCAGAAGAAGTTATGACATATTAGAAAGTTTTAAGTTTCAGTGATGGGAATTAGTTGCACATTCCGGGTCCATTTCTGAGACAACGCCTATTGTCTCATCATCATCACATGAAACTCAGCCGAGCCGCCGATTGCTATGCCTTAGAAGCGTTTCCATATATACAGAAATATGCAATCGTATCTTTCCTAAACCGTCATTTAAATATTTTCTTTGCTAAATTATTTTTATTTTTCTAAATAATTAAAACACTAAATTTTCTATTTGTGTATATTCTATATGTATTTTATTTGTGAATATTCTATGTGTATATTTTATGATAACATAATTGTGCGTATGATAATAACCTGTAATAGAGTTTTGACAATAGCTTTCCACATTATTCGTAACATGCTTCATACATGTTTTAAATGGTTTTTTTAATAGGTTTATTTCACAAAAATGTAATGAAGGTGTCGAATACGCAGAATATTCAGTATCATCTTTTGTGAATAAGTATTGTGGATTATAGTGAATGGAAAACTCTTATATCATTTTGCCATTTTCACAAATAATTAAAGAGTTATTAATTTATACATATTCGCGAATGAGAGAACTTTCGTACAACTTAGCGCGCTACGCACGCTAAACGCACGGTTATTAGGTGTGCGGTAATATGTTGGAGGAGTGCATTATAAATAAATATTCTGTCATTTGTAAATCGCATGCAAACACCTCGCCGAACGCCTAACAATCGTAAATGTTGCTTGCGTGCCGTTGGACTGTCCCTGCTCGCTTATTCGCGGATCTGTAAATAAATTAATAAACTCGCAAAATGCTAGAGAACTTTTTAATTCACAAGGAAATATAATCAAGCGTCTTCCTCTGATTTTAAGGAGCTTCGAATATGTTAAAATATAGACAAAAATAAGAGACACGTATTTCTTTATGTCTCGTTCTCGCGCGATGGAACTACTTCTTGGAAAAAAATTGATTTTTTTTTTCTTGAATGAATATCATTCAAAGATAAAGAAAAAAGTTTTAAACAAAAGTTTTACGGTTGCAAATGTACTTTACAACGATGTACTCGAATTTTTCAAAAATATTACATTTTATACCCCTTGCGTTTACCCTTAATTTTTAAAAATTATTAAATTTTTATAACAACGAAAATTAAACAACATTTTATGCTAAAAACAACAATATATAACAATATATAAGGAGATCATTTTCCAAAAACGCATTTTTGAGAAATGAGCGAAATACTTCTACGTACGCGTTCCATATGTATTCGTCTCATACTTGGATGTGTGGGATAGTGTTAAAGGCGAATAACACGGTCCGTCAGTGCAGCAACAATTATTGAAATAAAAGCCTTTATAACAACAACAACAGCAGCAGCAGCAGCAACAGCAGCAGCAGCAGCAACAGTAGCAGCAGCAGCAGCAGCAGAAGCAGCAGCAGCAGCAATGGCAGCAGCAACAGCAATAATAATAATAATAATAGCAGTTAAATGATATTCAAATATATAATGATATATCAAAAAATGTAGTAGTATTTCGAACAATTACAAACAAGTTATAAATAAAGAAATGATTATTTTTATAAAATATTGATTATTTAATTTTGACCGTAGAGTAGCTAGTGACAATATTTGAATATAGTTTATCGATCAATATTTATATTTCATGTCATAATGTCTTATTGTCGCAAGAAATAAATTTACTGAGACATAGTTTTATTTGCATATATTGTTTATTGTTTTACATCGATATAAAAGAGTGCAGATCGTTACGACAAATTCGCAGTTTTGTCGTTAAATAAGAGAATTCGTTCTGTAAAGTATTACCACAACGTATATAAAAAATAATTCTCGCTCACTTCTCAAAAATGCATTTTTGGAAAATAATTTTTTTATATACCTTTATTTTCAGTAAAATATTCTTTAATATTTGTTCTTATAAAAGTTTAAAAATTTTTGAAAATTAAAAGTTGGAGTAGGATAATTTTTCAAAAATATATTTAAAAATATAATATTTTTGAAAAATTTGAATGCACCGTTGTAAGATACACTTACAATCGTAAAATTTTTGTTTAAAACTCTTTTTCATATCTTTAATAATTTGGACGATATTCAGTCAGGAAAAGAAAACGATTTTTTCCAAGGGATAATTTCATCATGTAAGAACGCAGACATAAAGAAATACGTGTCTATTATATCTATATTTTAACATATTCGAAGTTTATTAAAATCAGATGAACACTTGGTGTTAATGTTTCTTGTTAATACAATTCCATTCTATCTGCCCACGAGAAATGATACGGTTATCGGACATCCTATATATTTCGACAGCAAAAGTCTATCTATCGATCATTTCATCATATATTCGATCTTCTATCATTATTTTTTTTGTATAATAAATCTGTCGAAAAAAATCACTTAAAATATATATGAAGCATTTCACGGATAATGTGGAAAGCTATGTGTAGTATATTAATAATAGAAAATCTAGTATCCTAATTATTTAGAAAAATAAAAATAATTTAGTAAAGAAGATTAAATGACGGCTTAGGGCGAAAGGTACGATGGTGTATATTTCTTACACAGGGATGTTCCTAAGGCATAACTGATCAACGGCTTGGCCGCTGAACCTCGAGCGGTAGTGAGGAAACAGTAGTCATCGTCTCGAAAATCAATCCGAAATATATAATTAATTCCGAGCACTGTTCTAAACTAACTAATGTTTATTATTATAATATTATATATTACATTGAGTCTTATTAAAAGAGATTTTAATTTAACTTTAATTAAAAATATAACATTATATAACATTAGAAGATAAGTATAGTATCTTTATTTTTCAAAACAAAAAAGTTTGTAAGGTAAAATTACATCTTCTCTCTATAGCTATATGCAATCAGACTTGCCAGAATGGCGGCGAATGCGTGGCACCCGGAAGATGTTCTTGTCGCCGCGGTTATATCGGCAACAGTTGTGAACTCGATCTGGATGAGTGCGCCAGCGATCTGCACCGATGCCATAAATCATCCACGTGTTTTAACATGCCCGGCTGGTATTATTGTCGGTGTAAGCCTGGTTATAGAAGCACTTTACATGACAGTATCCAAGGCACGCAATGTGTTGACATTGACGAATGCAATGATCTGACGATTGAAAGGGGGCATACGTGTCATCCTACCGCGAAATGTGTCAATACTGAAGGCAGCTATGAATGCGTATGTCCGCCGGCAAAGGATATGGAAGAATCCGGAAAGGAATGCAAACTCAGTGAGTTAGCTCTTAGAGCAAAACTATTCGAAGTTACATCAAAAGTACAGAAAAGTATTGTTACGTCATATTATTAATTATAGATTGCTGGTTTGAAGGCCATGAAATTAATAATGGTGATACTTTGGCGCCATCCGGAAATTCTTGCAGAAGATGCACATGTCAAAATGGCGTGATTATTTGCAAAGATCCCATATGCGACTGCAGCGCTCCGGAAAGTCATAGAGATAAATGTTGCCCTCAATGTAATCCCGCCGCATCCTGCAGGCATCAAGAGCTCCATCATCTAGTCTTTAGAAGCGGAGAACGTTGGATATATCAATGTCAAACTTGCGAGTGTTTGGTAATGAATCTCTTCGAATTACAATGTAAAGAATCCTATACAAACATCTTATGGAAAATGTCTCTTGGTCAAATTGCTTTAAATTTTAATATTTTATAGCTCATGTCAAGCTTATTGAAGGTTCTCACGGTCACAAACCTCTAAATGCCTTAGTTTTTGCTCCAAAACCTTTGGAAGGTCATCATATCTTATATGAAAAGATGATTAAAATAAATCTTTTTTTAACTAACTATTAAGTTATGAATACTGTATCATCATCATGATTTATAGTTAGTAGTTGTAGTGTGTGTGTGTGTGTGTGTGTGTGTGTGTGTGTGTGTGTGTGTGTGTGTGTGTGTGTGTGTGTGTGTGTGTGTGTGTGTGTGTCACGTGAAAAATAATATCGATATTTCGACAAATATCATTACAATATAAAATATCCTGAAAAAAGTTTTATTTTATTTTCTAATTCCAAGAAGTATATAAGGGTTTCCAAAAATTGAAAATATTTTATTTTGTGTCCGATACATAATACGAACGCATACAGCGTCACAGCATCTAGCGAGAGAAAGGCGAGCAAAAATGGGGCAGCATATTCAAACGAACAATTAGCATGCGCTTGAGTGATGCTCTTCATAGGCACAAATCTCCAAATGCCCGCAAGACAAGAGGGGAGAATGTGCGTGACGAGCCAGTTGTAGGAGAGATTGCACGAGGCATAGCTCGAGTCCTTAATTTTTGCTTCGAAAGATCTTTATATTTTATATGAAAGTATAGAAAAATCGAAAATAAATCTTTTTTATTACACTTGTACATGTATCAATGTGCATCTGCAAGTGTACATGTTACGATTTCAGTTTTTCGCGCGTTCTCAGAATTACCCGGCATAAACCCGAGATGTGGAAATGCTGCGCCCCATTCTTGCCTGCTTCTCCCTCATCTATGCGCTATGGCATGTTCGTATTACACATTAGACACGAAATAAAATATTTTTAATTTTTAGAAATCTTAATATGCTTTTTGGAATTAGAAAACAAAATAAAGCTTTTTTTCAGAATATTTTATATCTTAATAATATTTTTCGAAATATTGAATATTTTGGATACTTTCTTCGTGATATTATGTTCGATATTTTTTCGCGATACATACAGAGTATATATTCATGAGTATATATTCATTATATAGTATTCATAATTAATGAAGCAAAGATTGCTTCCTTCGTAAGGTCTTCATATCTTGGAGCAAAAATTAAAGCATTTGGATGTTTGTTACCCGTTAGGACTTGTAATCAACTTGAGTTACAAAATATAAAATTTGAAGCATTTCAACCGAGAGCCATTTTCCATAAGATTTGTTATTGCGGAATTCTTTGTTCGTCACAACAAACGATAAACTTGAATAAAATAAACAAATTGAAAAAATATTTCAAACAACTTAACTTTCTAAATTTCAATTTTCTTAATATATTAGTTCCATTATAAAAACATCACTTCCTGTTTTAGCATAAATATAGCTTTCAAATTTTCCTCGAATTATATGGTTTATTGCAGTATGGCGAAATAGACTGCTGGCAGATGGAGTGTCCACCGGTAACTTGCTCGAATCCTGTGACTGAAGAGGGTGATTGTTGCCCGCGTTGCGAAGATGATCCCTGCGCTCGTGAAATGCCGACAAATGGCACATCGTATACGGTTCCTAATCATCCTCGACCGTGCAGTTATGCCGATATCGTTCACGATAGTGGTAGCTCCTGGCAGGATCCTCATGATAAATGCACCACATGCGAGTGCAAGGTAAGAAGAAGAATCGGACATATCATCTGTCATGTCGCAGGATCTGTGATTGCTGGTCTTTAACTCGGTCCCGTGCAAGAACTGAAGGATAAAGATATGATAAAGGGAGGGTTCGCCGGAGAAGGACAATGTCATGGGTACGGAAGAAATAACGATGGTCTTTGCGATAAATTTCTTCTGCCTTTTCCATATTTCCATAAATTTTTAATACTATTTTATTTAAATTTAATAATGCAGAAAACGTTGTACGGTACGATATTTATTCTTTTATGCAATATGAAAAGTATTGTATGTTTTTATGTGTAAAAGTAATTGTAATATCTAATTATAATATATAAGGAAATTATAAACAATATTATTTAATAATATATGCTCTTCCTAATTGTTATTAATGTCAAAATATTTAAATAATGAAGAAATTGAAACGCGGACCATCTCAATAAAATCTCAGTACTCATTGCGCTTACTTCTCTCGCGAAATCAAGAGCTCAAGGTCAGTAAATGAAAGAAAATATTGCCTCAATTTAGTCGTGGATTTGTCATGTGCCTCGCTCAATTGTGCTTGCTGTATTATGCCGATATAAAAATGCAGAAAAATTGCTGTGCGACAGGCGTTTACTTTATCGCAAAATGTATGTACATATACATGGTGGAGCAAATCATAATAATTAGTTCATTTCTGTTGGTTTCATACTAAATTTTTTTTCATTAACGGTAACACACACAATTCAACAAAAAATAACTTTTTTCGAACGACGAGGACAAAATTAGTCATTTTCTGTACATTTTTGGACGCTGAATACGATTCCGATTTTCAAACAGCTCCATCATGTCATAGTTTTGAGAAATTTGCAATTACAATTACAAAAAGGCTACTTTCATGTATTTTATCATGTTGCAACTGTCATACATGATATGTTAGGAAAGTTTCATTGTAATTAAAATTAAGTATGGTAATATATCTTCAAACAGAACTTTTTGCTTAGTTACGATTAATAAAATTTTTATGGTTAAATTTAGGATATATTATGGAAGAGTTGTGAGTTAAATCATTGACGATTTACCCAATAGCTTTCAATTATATTTATTTAAACTTAAAGGTTCCTAGATTGTTGAATATGATAAAATTGATAATTTTAAAATGATAGATTCAATATGGCGATTCAATATGTCAAAGCTTAAAGAATATTGAGATTGTTGTCAAAATTTATGTATAAAAATCTTTTGTGACATTAAATACAAATCCAATATTCAGAATTGAGAAATTCAAAAAAAGGATGAAAACTAAAGCATATTTGAATTACCAAATATAATCTTAAATAGAATTTTTATAGAATTTTTCACATTAATATACATTTGATATTTAAACTGAGATCGATTACATAAGTGAAATTGAAAGCATTTTAAATAATATATTCATCATTATATATATCAATATATATCAATATATATATATATATATATATAATATATATATATATATATATATATATATA